GGTCCAACAGACTGTTGCTTGGAGTGGCCTGCAGGTCCACATATCCACCACAGCCCAGTTGGTCCGGCACTTCTTGAAGAAAACTATCTAGTTTTCTCTTGAAGATTTCCACGGTTGTTCCAGCAGTATTTCTGATACTTGCAGGGAGTACAGTATGTTTAACAACCGTGGACCTCTGATGTTTAAACAGTATTGTTTGATTGTGCCTATGGCATCCCTGCTCTTCACCGGTACTATTTTGGATTTTCTTCCATATCGTTCACTCTAGTATGTTGTTGTTATACTGTGCAGATTTGGGACCTGGCCCTCCAGTATTTTCCATGTGTATATCATTTGATACCTCTCTCTCATCTCCTTTCCAGTGGGTACATTTGGAGAGCTTTGAGATGATAGACTGCAGGCTGGCTAGACTTTATAACACTCTGGATGATGTGAGAAACATGAGCCCTGGAACAGGGGACCAGGGAACTGAAGCACATCACAAGTCCAATGAAGCAGAAGTGGTGGCACGAAGGTAGCAGCAGAGAGCTGCTACGGGACACTGTACATGACACACCCACGGTAAAACCAACCAAGCATCCACCACCAAAGGACCCCTTCTGAAGCCAACTGACTCATTCCTCACCAGAAAAAGAGAGAAGCTGGCTACAGACGAACAAAACTACCCCCAGGGCTGAGAGAACAAAAACTCTGGTGCCAAAAAAAAACGTGAAGCTCACCCAAACAACAACCGAAGGCGAGAGAGCAAAAACAGAGCCTCACAGAAGCAAATAAAAACTGAAGAGGACACAGTAAAACAAGCAGAAGAAAAGATCACGGTCCAAAGACCAAGCAGGCTCAGGTGATGCATGAACAAGCTGGAGGTGAAACAGTGCCTGAGAAATCTTACAAAATGGGGCCAAGGATGTCTCGACCCCAAACACAAGCTAAAGCAGCTCTGCCAGTGCTGCACGATACAAGGTGACAGTATTTGGCATAAGACACTGACCTAGAAAAAAAATGAAGGAAAGACGGTACAACCAAAACCAACACCAAAGAGGAATGACAATGGGAGTGGAAATGGTGAATTGAATGCCAGGAGACTTCATACTGTTGCCAAGATGAGGACCACAGGTGGAACACCAACAAACTAGCCACCAGATCACCATACAGATGGTAATAAACAATCGTCAGAAACTCTAAATGTGAAGATTGGAGAAGGCAGAACCAGCAAGGTACATCATTGGACCGATCTGCGGAAAGACGCAAAGCCGCAGTAAAATACAGGGTTCAGACACTAAACAAGCTTTGCCTGAAAACAAGGCTAGGCCAGCTACCAAGGAGCCAGATGGAAACCCTCCCCTGTAGGACTCTTAATTTTGCCAAGACTTGTGTAAAGAGGTATAGAGGTGAGGGCAGAGGAAGGTTCCAGGGAACCAAACCTCAATAAACCTGAAGAGGAAGCCAGCAACACAACAGCCAGCGATGCAATAGCCAACAAAGGGCTTCTGGGGCCAAAACACCCTCTGAAACCAAACTCAGCCCAAGGGAAGCGTAAAGAGGGCAAAGTTGAGGCTCCTGCACAGCTGCACGAAGAACCACTGAGTCATCCGAAGCCTGCTCAACATCAACAGAAGGTGGGGCAGCAGCCGGGAAAATCTCACCAGAGGGAGAGCCAGCAAAGCTGATCAAATGAGGCCCAGCCAAGTCCAAACCTGGGCTGGAACCAATGGGACTTACACTTGTCCACTAGCAACTCAGGAAAAAACCCAACCCTGGCAAGCAGACACGCAGACAGGCTGCGAGCCCTCACCAGCCAGACGTCAAGGTAGACCAGGACCCAAACACCAAGAAAACACTGAGGAGACAAGAGGCTGAATGGTAGGACCCAATAATAGAAACCTGAAGACCTATGACAAAGGTAACCAATTTCCCAGAGAAAATGGAGACTGCCAGAATGTGGCCAGTGAACCAAAAAGTGCTCGACTTGAGGCCAAGACGGATCAGAAACAACGGGGTCAACCGAGAAGAGGGGAAAGGAAGGCACCGTATTAACCCAGAAAGAGCAGGGATGAACCAGAGACCCAGAGAACCCAAGGCAGGACCAGAAAATGATGGAATCAACTGAAGGGAAGTGGCCAGGAAGACCACCCCATTGCATCAGATGTGCCTGATGGAAGCGTGCCTAAATCACGCCATCGAATGAGGTAAAACCAAAGCAGAAGGAAAGGAAGGGACGAAAAAAAAACCCACCCCACTACAACAACCCCAGCCCAGAAGGAACAAAGACCCAAGCAGAGGTAAAAACCCCAAGAGCTCCTCGTGGGCTACCACCAAAGTCCCAGGAACCCCTGACAGAGGCCCCAGGGTGGAAGCCCTCATCCACCCTCAACACCCCTGAAGAAAAGGCGGAGTCTAGGGGAAAGGCTTCAAAGAAGAGAGTCTGCCGAGGCGACCCAGAAGCCTCGGCGGGATAATCGTGCTCAATCATCTCCATACCCGAATTGGAAGGGACATTCCTCGAAGCCTCCCGAGCTATTTCAACCGTCGAGGGGGGGGGGGGGATTAGCTCGGGAGGCTTCGGGAGGCTCGGGATTAGCTCGGGAGGCTTCGGGAGGCTCGGGATTAGCTCGGGAGGCTTCCAACTAGCACTCCCGCACTAACGAGCAGGAGTGCTAGTTGGATGATGATTTGCTTGTGTTATTGTTTTCTTTTGAGAGGAGTTCTTTGGCTCTGTTCAGAGGTAAGTTGCCATTTGCACCAGCTGGAGGTGTGTGTTGTTACACCTACTTTCCTGGAGGTATACCCCAGTTGATGGCAGACATGACATACTCTAAATGTAGTGCTCATATGGCCATTGCTCCCTGCACCTCTCTGAGGGGGCCAGATTATGGCTCATGGTCCCCGGTAGGCACAAACTCCTGTAACTAATGTCCCCAAACTAATATAGCACATATCAGTCTGGATAGCTTCATGGAGTCGACAAGGCTCCCCCACAGAAAACCACCACTTAGCTGAAGGCAGGAACCTGGTTGGTTGATACCTAGTTGATGGGGTTCTGGGAGTTCTTCTACTCCCCAAGCCCGGCCCGAGGCCAGGCTCGACCTGTGAGAGTTTGGTCCACCAGGCTGTTGCTTGGAGCGGCCCGCAGGGCCACGTACCCACCACAGCCCGGCTGATCCGGAACTTCTCTTAGAAAACCGTCCAGTTTTCTCTTAAAGATGTCCACGGTTGTTCCAGCAATATTTCTTATAGTCGCTGGGAGGACGTTGAACAACCGCGGACCTCTGATGTTTATACAGTGCTCTCTGATTGTGCCTATGGCACCTCTGCTCTTCACTGGTTCAATCTTGCATTTTCTTCCATATCGTTCACTCCAGTACGTTGTTATTTTACTGTGTAGATTTGGGACCTGACCCTCCAGTATTTTCCATGTGTATATTATTTGGTATCTCTCTCGTCTCCTTTCTAGAGAGTACATTTGGAGAGCTTTGAGACGATCCCAATAATTTAGGTGTTTTATCTCGTCTATGCCGTATATGTTCTCTGTATTCCCTCTATTTCAGCAATCTCTCCTGCTCTGAAGGGGGAAGTGAGTACTGAGCAGTACTCGAGACGGGACAACACAAGTGACTTGAACAGTACAACCATTGTGATGGGATCCCTGGATTTGAAAGTTCTCGTAATCCATCCGATCATTTTTCTGGCTGACGCGATATTTGCTTGGTTATGCTCCCTAAACGTTAGATCGTCGGACATCATTATTCCCAAATCCTTGACATGCTGGGAAGATTCGATTGTGTTTTGTACCCTGTATTATGTTTCAGATCCTCATTTTTGCCGTACCTGAGTACCTGAAATTTATCACTGTTAAACATCATGTTATTTTCTGCTGCCCAATCGAAAACTTTGTTGACATCTGCTTGTAGTTTTTCAATGTCTTCAGCAGAGGTAATTTTCATGCTGATTTTTGTGTCATCTGCAAAGGACGACACGAAGCTGTGGCGTGTATTTTTGTCTATATCAGATATGAGAATAAGGAACAGTAGCGGTGCAAGGACTGTACCTTGAGGTACAGAGCTTTTAACATCGCTTGGACTCGATTTTATCTGATTGACTGTTACTCTTTGTGTTCTGTTCGACAGGAAATTGAGTATCCAGCATCCTACTTTTCCAGTTATTCCCATTGACCTCATTTTGTGAGCTATCACCCCATGGTCACATTTGTCGAACGCCTTTGCAAAGTCTGTGTATACAACATCTTCATTTTGCTTTTCTTCTAGGGCTTCTGTGATTTTGTCATAGTGGTTGAGTAACTGATAGACAGGATCTTCCCGCTCTAAATCCATGTTGTCCTGGATTGTGCAATTCATTGTTTTCCATAAAACTAGAAATTTGATTCCTAATCACTCTTTCAAACACTTTTATTATGCGTGATGTTAGTGCAACTGGCCTATAATTTTTTGCCAAGGCTTTACTCCCCCCCTTGTGCAACGGAGCTATATCTGCAGATTTAAGTGCTGCTGGTATCTCCCCTGTAGCGATATTTGGCTCTGGCTCTAGGAAACTAGAGCCAGAGTGACAGAGGACAGCCAAGCCACTAGCTACCATCAGCAAGAACTGAGGGTGGAGTAGCCAGTTAACCAGGTCTCCCTCCCTTCTTCCCTGAAACAAGGAGGGGGAAATGGGGCGAATGAGCCAACGCCAATTTCATGAATTTTCTATTGTTTCTTTACATTTTGGGGTTGTTCTTTTAGTGATTTTAATTATGTCTTCGGTGATTTTTCTTCATGTCTTTCCATTGTGGCAGACATGATTAAAAGTAACTGACAATTTGCACCTTATTAGAGGAGGCCAGGTTCTGGCTCGTGGTCTCTGGTAGGCCTAAAAGAACTCCATAACTGATGGCACCAAGTAGTTTGGCACTAGATCAGCACTGTAGCTTCAGGGAAGGGACAGACAAGGGGCTTCCCTTCAGGAAAGCAAAAATATTACTACTAGAACAAAAGTTAGAGTCTCACCTTATAGATGTCACAAGTTGTATGTATTTCAAAATCAGACATGACAGAAAAGTCCTCTATGATATACTCTAATATAGACTCCAGGTGGGTGGTTTTCTTTAGAATCTTGGCTATCTCCTTTACCTTGTTGTCGTCGTAATATTTTCTGAAAAGTAAGCAGAAATATGTATAAAATTAACATAAAAACTTCTTAACCAGTGTGCTGCACCAGCTGAAAAACCTCAGTTTGCTATATATATTAGTACTGTATAGTTTTAAGATCTGCCACAAAGGTGGGGCCACATGGCTAAATAATAAAAGATATTTTTTTTTTGCTATGGTATATGTGTTAAACATTTTAAGAAGACAAATAAGAAGCATTGTTAACAAACAACTCCTGAAAGAAAACATAAGGTACACTATCTGGGGATATTTAATAATAGACGACAATACATTACTCTTATAAGCATTTCAGACAAAGTCGAAGGAGATTTTCTTTCTATCTTGCAACAATAAACTGGACATTTGTAAACACTTTTCACTCTATATGCTGCATCATGAACAAATCTTAGCTGATTTATGATACCCGTACTAACCTTATTAATAAAGGATGGTTGGCAATCTTGCGAAGAGTTGTTACCATGTTGCTACTGCCATCTCTATCTTTCTTCTTTTTTGTGTCTCCAGTGGCCTCTCCATCATCTATTTCTGTTAACTCCTTTAAGTTTAGTTTTTCCAGATCTAACTAGAGAAAAAAAAGGATATAAAACAAATTTAAATCTGCAAATTAATTCATTTATTAACTTACTTTCATTTTAATTGTAGGCCTTTACAATATTACATCATGTCTTCATGAATCTCCATATTACACAAAGCAAGATGGCATGTTTAATAAAACCAGCGTTGAATATAATGAAACGCCATTGTCTGGGCGAGACCAGGAAGCTCCACAGGAGCTATCCAGGATATGTATATCATTAGACTTTTGCATCAGTCAGTGTGAATGGAGTACTAGGCCTACCGGGGACCATGAGCCAGTACATGGCCCAACTCAGAGAGGCACAAGGAACAATGGCCTATAGAAGTGCACATGTGATTTGAAGCATTCTATGTCTGCCATCGACTGGGCCGGGCACCCAGAAAGGTAAGCGCCTCAAAACAAACCACCATTCTGCTTAAAACTACTACAGAACACTAACAGGTGAAGATAACTCCTCAAACGAAAACGAGCAAACAAGCATGACGTCACACGTGCAGCGGCGCTAGTCTACGCAGCTCACCCTCCCCGGGAGGGGGAACGGGGGAGCCCCAGACCTCTTGTGCCAACTATCCACACCCCAGTTCGAGGCTGGATGTCAAAACATGGAAAAAACTGCAGACCATTTCATTACATTCAACAGTGGTTTTCTGGGGGAGCCCCTTCGGCTTCCCGGACCTACATCATAAATGACGAAAACAAGAGGGACTTACCAGTGAGGCGGTAGGCACTCGCTCCTCAACTCAAAGTCGAGACAACAGGCTGCAACCGCCAACCCAAAGCGACACAGGCCCGACTAGGCCCAGGAACATTTATGAGGGAGCATGCAGCCAAGACCCTGTTTGACCACCAAAAACCCTGTGCCCAAATGTCAGCCCAAGACATGTTACCGAAGACAGCAGCAAGCGCAGCAAACTTACGAACGTCATAGAGGGTTGGCGGTACCAACCGCCAATATTGCAGGGGTACGAACCGCTGAAATAGAGGATATACAGAGAACATATACGGCACGCATAGACGCGATAAGGTACCTAAATTATTGGGATCATCTCAAAGCCCTCCAAATGTACTCACTAGAAAGAAGACGAGAGAGATATCAAATAATATACACATGGAAGATACTGGACGGCCAAGTACCAAATCTACACAGTAAAATAACAACGTACTGGAGTGAACGATATGGAAGAAAATGCAGAATAGAACCAGTGAAGAGCAGAGGTGCCATAGGCACAATCAGAGAACACTGTATAAACATCAGAGGTGCACTGTTGTTTAACACCCTCCCTGCGAGCATAAGAAATATTGCCGGAACAACCGTGGACATCTTCAAGAGGAAAGTATCCACTCAATTTAACGACCTCTTTTACACCGATCTGCCGGTAATAACGACCGGTTTGGGAGATCAGTATCTGGAGCCTCGTATACCAGTCTGGTGGTCGATATTACCGACGGTTAGTATTGGGTTTGTTTTGGCATCGGCAGCCCCTCACATGGCGACTAGGCCACCGACTTCGATCATTCAGAGTGGTATATTAAATCTTAACTTTCTTTTAAAATGATTCAGTTTTATGAAGAAAAATTCTTTGTTTTCTTATTAAATACCTTTTATAGTATAGGCAATAGGTATTTTTTTTCCCACGGACCTAGAACGTACTGCACCTGCCCATGTAATTACCTAAGTGTAGTTACAGGATGAGAGCTATGCTCGTGGTGCCCCGTCTTCCCAGCACTCTTTGTCATATAACACTTTGAAACTACTGACGGTCTTGGCCTCCATCACCTTCTCACCTAACTTGTTCCAACCGTCTACCACTCTGTTTGCGAAAATGAATTTTCTTATATTTCTTTGGCATCTGTGTTTATCTAGTTTAAGGGGGCGTCTGGTTATTATAGTGAAAGTTGTTCAATGTCAACCAATATTAATTTTCTAGTTGTATATGAAAAGTGCTTAAATTGTCCCAAGTTTCAGTACTGCAGCGTAAATAGAAAGGGAGTTTTTTTGTTTTTTTTGTTTTCAATGTTTTTTACACATTTTCAAGTCCACACTTCAGAACACACGTTTCAGATATAATTATTCTGTGACAATTTTCTGACACATTAGCATATAATAAAGGATTTTGGGATTTAGAATTTCCAAAACATCTCTAGTTTTCCTAATACAAATGTTCAAAGCTCCCCAAAATTTTTTTGCAAATATGGCATGTTTATTGCTATTATAAAATCAATAAATGAACTTAGAGAAAAATGAAAGCCCCCCAATGTAGAGACATGCCCTCCACAATGTAGAGACATGCCCTCCACAATGTAGCGACATGCCCTCCACAATGTAGCGACATGCCCTCCACAATGTAGCGACATGCCCTCCACAATGTAGCGACATGCCCTCCACAATGTAGCGACATGCCCTCCACAATGTAGCGACATGCCCCACAATGTAGAGACATGCCCCACAATGTAGAGACATGCCCCACAATGTAGAGACATGCCCCACAATGTAGAGACATGCCCTCCACAATGTAGCGACATGCCCTCCACAATGTAGAGACATGCCCCACAATGTAGAGACATGCCCCACAATGTAGAGACATGCCCCACAATGTAGAGACATGCCCCACAATGTAGAGACATGCCCCACAATGTAGAGACATGCCCCACAATGTAGAGACATGCCCCACAATGTAGAGACATGCCCCACAATGTAGAGACATGCCCCACAATGTAGAGACATGCCCCACAATGTAGAGACATGCCCCACAATGTAGAGACATGCCCCACAATGTAGAGACATGCCCCACAATGTAGAGACATGCCCCACAATGTAGAGACATGCCCTCCACAATGTAGAGACATGCCCTCCACAATGTAGAGACATGCCCTCCACAATGTAGAGACATGCCCTCCACAATGTAGAGACATGCCCTCCACAATGTAGAGACATGCCCTCCACAATGTAGAGACATGCCCTCCACAATGTAGAGACATGCCCCACAATGTAGAGACATGCCCCACAATGTAGAGACATGCCCCACAATGTAGAGACATGCCCCACAATGTAGAGACATGCCCCACAATGTAGAGACATGCCCCACAATGTAGAGACATGCCCTCCACAATGTAGAGACATGCCCCACAATGTAGAGACATGCCCCACAATGTAGAGACATGCCCTCCACAATGTAGAGACATGCCCCACAATGTAGAGACATGCCCTCCACAATGTAGAGACATGCCCCACAATGTTGAGACATGCCCCACAATGTAGAGACATGCCCCACAATGTAGAGACATGCCCTCCACAATGTAGAGACATGCCCCACAATGTAGAGACATGCCCCACAATGTAGAGACATGCCCTCCACAATGTAGAGACATGCCCCACAATGTAGAGACATGCCCCACAATGTAGAGACATGCCCTCCACAATGTAGAGACATGCCCCACAATGTAGAGACATGCCCCACAATGTTGAGACATGCCCCACAATGTAGAGACATGCCCCACAATGTAGAGACATGCCCCACAATGTAGAGACATGCCCCACAATGTAGAGACATGCCCCACAATGTAGAGACATGCCCCACAATGTAGAGACATGCCCCACAATGTAGAGACATGCCCTCCACATATACTGCGTAAGTTTCATGTAAATTGAATAAAAAAGGAATCAGTTTTGTAAACGTTTGTGTCAATTGAAAAAAAAAACAGAAATGAATAAAGTCTAAGGTTCTAAAATCTGTGGCTGAGGTTGACATCAACCAATTTTCTCCAAAATTGGCATCCTTACAGATAGGCTTACGTATAGTCAGGTGTGTAAGTTTGATGCAAATCGCTTAAAAAAAAATGAAAAAAAAAAAAAAAAAAAATTTTTTTTTTCTTCAATTTTTTTTCCAATTAAACTAATTATAATATTTGTTTAATATATGCTATTGTGATAGCAAAGAGTCGTAGTTATGATTTCAGTTGACACTTTTGATTGATAATCGATTTTGACCATTTTTGCATAATTTTCACAACTACTTCAATATTTTTTTTCTCCCTTCCTATTTATGCTATGATGCTGAAACTTGGACCAGATGAAACACTTTTCATATAGAACTTGTCAAAAAAGTTTGATTGAAATCGAACGAGTTTTCATTTTTGCATTTTTGGACCCAGATGCCAACCAGATGCCCCCTTAAATCTATGACCTCTTGTTCTTAAAGTTCCAGGTCTCAGGAAATCTTCCCTATCGATTTAATCAATTCCTGTTACTATTTTGTATGTAGTGATCATATCACCTCTTTTTCTTCTGTCTTCTAGTTTTGGCATATTTAATGCCTCTAACCTCTCCTCGTAGCTCTTGCCCTTCAGTTCTGGGAGCCACTTAGTAGCATGTCTTTGCACCTTTTCCAGTTTTTTGATGTGCTTCTTAAGATATGGGCACCACACAACCGCTGCATATTCTAGCTTTGGCCTAACAAAAGTCGTGAACAATTTCTTTAGTATATTGCCATCCATGTATTTAAAAGCAATTCTGAAGTTAGAAAGCGTGGCATAGGCTCCTCGCACAATATTCTTTATGTGGTCCTCAGGTGATAGTTTTCTATCTAGAACCACCCCTAGATCTCTTTCTTTATCAGAATTCTTTAAAGATTTCTCACATAATATATAGGTTGAGTGGGGTCTATGTTCTATTCCACATGACCGCACTGTTTACTGTGAACTCACGTGGCTGAGAGCAATGTCTCAGAATATTAGCAAGAGAAAATCAGATTCAGACAAAAATAGATAAATTCATGATTTCAACAGTTCGTGAAAGCACCCACTGGGAATTCAACAAGTCATGCAGCATCCGCTGGCAACGAGTGCCCTACAAGCCATGCTGCACCCGCCGATGCTGAATTCCCATCGACAAGTTGTGTTGCCTCTGCCGGCAACGAATGCTCTGCAAGCTATGCTGCACCCGCCAATGCTGAATTCCCATCAACAAGTCATGCAGCCTCCGCCGG